TGTATTACACTTTTAAGCTCTGTGAGGAGTGTGTCACCACAGTTAGCAAACTCATTTGAAATGAATTCTTGAGGAACTTTCCCTCTATTTTATCACCTAATAGAGCCAGACAAATGGCATTGGCTATGCCTGGGTTACTCAGAAGTATAGAGGAGCCCCAGGAGAGGGAGGCAAGCCTGAGAGGAGTGAAGGACTTCCACGGGTTTCTGTGGTCAGGCTATTTTCCCTCTTGAAGTATCTTTCTACCTATTCTGCATCCTCAGATTTTGGAGCTGTCTGGCCATTCTGCTAATCATTCACCATGTTTGGCTTCCTCCTCAGCTTCTGTGGGTAGTGTCTGGTTTGGGATGAGTGATTCCTATCTTCAAAGTCCTAAGATCAGAATGATCATGTTTTAATGGACAGCACACAGCCTTGATGTCAAGCCAGTGTGCAGGACTAAATTTCACAAACAGAACATTATGTGGGCTCACTTGCCCTGTGTCCATGCTGCTGTCAACCTTGAACTTCAGGTGTCCTGGAGAACGTTCTGTTCTCCTCCACCAATCACTGATGCCCCTGTCTCAGTTTCCAGGAAATTAGGAGACAAAAATGGTGGCCAGGAGATGGATGATATGTGCTTGAGCCTTCACATTCATTGTGTCCCTAGACCCTCCAGCCCCACGGCACAAGAAGTGCCATTGCTAAATGGGAAAACACTGCCATTCCTCACTTCACAGTCTGTCCCAGGTAGAAGCAGGATGCACAGAAGCACGTCTGTTCATGGAAAACACTTAGTGGAGCTGCAGACTCAGCTCCAAGGGACCACATTTACCCACAGTAGCTCAGGATTTCCCAAAACAAAGTGGATACTGGAAACTTTCTTCTCTGGTCCCTTCTGTCATCATATTCATAGCTTCCCTTTATACCTCTTCTGTCTGGACATTTACCCTTTGAAGTTTTTTGGCTATTATGATCATAAGGTTTTCCTAATATCCTTTTTATTGGCTAAAAAATGAAAACTTTGTGGGGGTGGCAAACACTCCATTTTATTCTCTGTCTGTCTGTCTGTCTGTCTGTCTGTCTGTCTCTGTGTGTGTGTGTGTGTGTGTGTATTTCCTTAAGGACACATAAGAATACCTTCTTATATAGCTGAGCATGATGGTGTACACCTTTAATTCCAGCACTCAGAGGGCAAGGGCAGGTGGGTCACTGTGAGCTGGAAGATGGTGGCAGCCTGGTGCACCCAGTGATTCCTAGGCTAGCCAGGACAGTGAGACCCTGTTACAAAACAAGACAAAAATTACACTTTTTCTCACTTAGGGAACCCAGATGGCAAAACCCTTACCTTTCTATGGTAGAGAACAGAATCTTTAAAAAGATAAAAAGAAGCAATCTGCTAGTTAGGAGAAGTTAACATTGAAATCCTGATCTTAATTCCTAGTCATTTTTTTTTTTTAATTCCACAGCCCTGCCATTCTAAAGCTGGATTCCTACAGCAAAAGGCTAACACTGGTTCTCATCAGCTATAATATTGAAGATGCTTATTTTTAATCACATTTTTGCTTGTGCACTTGTTCATATTTTTCTAGAAGACTGTATCAGTTTTGCTCTAGCTTTGGTGAGCTCATGGCTCTAGAAAAATGATTATTTCTACTTCTTAACAATCCCGACAAAAACTTTTACTCACATGTGTTCATCAGACTGTTTGTTGCTATGGGAAACACTTGATATAAACAATTTAAAGGAAAAAACATTTTTTTTTTTTTGAGATCACATTTTCAGAGGTTTCTGCCTAAGTTTGACTTGACAGAGGTGAGGCAGAGTACGTGTCAATGGGAATGGATGGTAGAAAAAGTCGCTCACCTCAACACCTCAGGAAGCAAAGAGGAAAAACAGGAAGGAAGCAGAGATAAGACAGCCACTGAAATACTGGCTCCTGGGACCCACTTCCTTCAGTGTAACCCACCCTACCCAACAATTCTATCCATATTTTAAAATTCATCAGAGAACTAAATCATTGCTTAGGTCAGAGTTCTCATGACATAACTGTTACTGGAGATGTCATCACATGGGTGATGAGATGGCTCAGCAGGTAAAGGAAATGGCACTCAGCCTGACTACCCAAGTTTAATCCCTAGGACCCACATAGTAGGAGGAAATTGACTCCCTACACTCATGTAACCACATACAGACACACATGCACACAGTTACTAACTACTAAAGATTAGACATGTTACCACAAACATACCTACAGATACACCTCACTGACTTCCTAAGCATCTCTCAGTTCAATTTAATTGACAAGATTACCATCACATCATATATAACCCAAAATGTGAGTGCTTCTGTTACTATCCACAAAAGCATAGAACTCATTGTTATTTATTATTATTATAACCATCATCATTATTATTAATTTGAGGCAGAGAGTTACTATGTAGCCCTAGTTTGGCTTGTACTTACTATGTTGGCCAGACTGGCCTTGAACTCACAGAGATCCACTGCTTCTGCCTCCCAAATGTTGGGAGCAAATGTGTGCAACACCATGCTGAGCTCAACATTTAACTCTTAGTAAGATAAGATACTCTATATAATAAAGCTAAAAGGAAGGAACGTGTCACGGACGGTGAGGGCGGGTTATATGGCTGAGGCCAGACAGTAATGTATATCCCTTGAATTCACATTCTATTAGCAGGGACTCAGTTGTGAGTATACTTCCAAGTGCAAAGGAGAGGGGATGTGGTCAGTAGGTACACAAAAGTAGAAAAGAAATCCTGAGGGGCTGCAAAATGGCCAACTAAATAAAGACGCTTGCGGCCAACCCTGTCTGAGTTCGATCTCGGGAACTGTGTGATGGAAGAAGGCTGCAGGTTGCCCTCTGAGTACCACATTGCATCAGAGCAGGCATGGACGCCCCCCCCCACACACACATTTTTTAAAGTCAAGGGCCTCAGAGATGGCTCAGTGTCTAAAAGTGCTTGCTTCTCTTTTAGAGGACTCAAGTGTGGTTCCCAGCAGCTATGTCAGGTGGCTCTGTAACTCCAGCTCGAGGAAATCCAATGCCTCTGGGTTCTGTGGGCACCTACACTCTGCATATACTCACATTCAGAAGACACACATGCCTCCACATAATTTAAAACCACAAAAATAACTTTCTTTAAGAAAGAAAAGAAAGCCCATCTATATCACATTTGAGAGGAAAAAGAAAGAAAAGATATTCAAAGGTATGTTGGAATAAGAGAGGTGAGTTCCTCTGTAGAGCAATCTGAAAACTCACCAATGGTATCTTCCCACTCAGATCTACTTTCACTGGTCAAAAGGATGGCCTGGATTTCCCTGATGTAATCATTTCACCTTACACATGGGGTTCTGCTCCAGTGCTCTTAGTGGATGCCTGAGTCTGAGAGTACAGAGGCAAGCCTTATGCACGCTAAAGCTTAGTGTACAGAGAGATGCTACATAGAATGCAGTCTTACTGAGCCTTAAAGAAGTCTGGTCTGTCATCTTTAACAACATAGATGAATCCAGAATGCCCTTGGTTAAGTCAAATAGTCAAGACAAAGGCAAATGCTGCATTATCTCATTGTATGTGGGATCTTTTAAAAAGTTGAAATTACAGGAGCAGATAATAAATGACAGTTGCCAGGGATGGTGGGAAAGATTCAGAAACAGAGATATTGGCTAAGCTGTAGACTTCAGTAGTGGATAAGTTCTAGAGCTCTAATGTACAGCATACAGATATAGCTCATATTATACCATGCATTTGAAGTTTACTGAGTGTAGCCATAAGTGGTCTAGTCACAAACAATGTAACTGTGAGAGATGATGGACAGGTTAATTATTTTGACTATAGTAAACATGCCATAAGGTCTATGTAATCAAAACAACAGATTATACACCTTAATTTATATATATACACACACATATACGAATGCATGGTGGTACAAGCCTGTCCCCTCAGCATTAGGAGGCAGAGGCAGTGAGTGGAAACAGGAGTTTGTTCAAGGCCAGCCTGAGAGTCTATCTCAAGAATAAAACAAGACAAGCAGTATGAAGACTCAGCTTGGTTGAAATTCCATGTATGCAGCTAACTGACATCTAGTGCACAGGGATCTTTCTGCCCTTATGTATTAGATACATACTAATTATTAAAGAGAGAATAAAGTTGAGATGATAACTCTCATTAAAATATAAGCAGCAGACTGGGTTTGCATGTCACAGATATATCTGCATTTTGCTAAGATCTTCTGCAATAATGCTCCAAAACTTAGAGCTGGCTTGTCAGTCCATCTATTATCCAGCTAAGAACACCGAAGCACAGGTGAGTGGCTTTCCAAGTGGCTCTTAGGCTTCCTATTGTGAAAAAAAAGATGCCATGTAGGAACTTTACACACATATGCACAAACCCAGATGTTTTCTGGCTGTGGTAGTACACACCTATAATCCCAGTATTGGAGAAACTAAGTCAGGAAATCCATGAGTTAGAGGCTAGTCTGGGCTATGTAGCAAGGCCTACATCAAACAGCAAAACTACAAATATTTGCCCTGCTAAATGAGCAGGAGTCTTTAGGGATGCATGGACTTCTGAGTTAGCCAGACTTTCTCTGTGTTCAGGTACCACCTAGCTCCAGGAACTAGACCGCTCAGGAGAAGTCAAGCCATGAGAGAGGGGACAGGGTTGAACAGAGGCTCTTGCAAGGTCCCAAAGCACAGCTGGTGAGAGCACATACTCCTGCAGGTGCACACACTCTACTTAACATTCACACCCCCTCCTTTGGCAGCAGTCAATTCACTGCTTCCTAGAAGGGAAGGAGACAATGAGACGCCCCTCACCCAAGGATTAGGGCTCCTGCCAAGAACTGTCCATTCTGTGGGAGAGAGAGGTGGGCAGAAGAAGACAATAAAAATAGGTAGACACTATGCATACAACCAAAACTTGATGAGCCCACAAGGGAGAAGAAGGCCAAGAAATCTTGAATTCTGTTTTTTACTTTTTATACAAATAGACCTATCATTTCATGGGGAATGGAAAGTTTGGTGGCCATTTCTACCCAGGGTTATACATTTTCTTTTATGGACTGCATCAGGCAACAGTGGTCTCCAAGGACATGATAGCTAATGACTTTCCTGTTCAGCCTTCATACCTTCCCAAGAATCAAAAGAGATGTTCCAAGCTGTGGAAAATAGCCTTTGGAGGCTGGCTGAAGATAGTGACCGGCTCCCTCTTGACATTTTATGTGGTCTTCTGTCTGGATGATGGGATGGTACTGATCAGCAGAGAGATGCCTCCAAGGTTTATGTATCCTCAAGAGTGGCAGCACCTCACCATGTTCATCCTCCTCACCCTTGATGGCTGTGTAGAGGTCATGAGCAAGAATGTGCTGCGGCAGAGGTGTATGGTTCTAGAAAGAGGTTCCATGGCCTTGGGCATCTACGTGCTCCTGCTGCTGCTGCTGTCACATGTTCAGGTCTCATCAAAGGTGGAGCTGCAGGTTCACTCTCTCCTCATCTTGGTGGTGTTCCTGTTGATGCTGGTGTTGATAGCAGAGCTGTGGGCTTACAGGTTCTTTTGCCTCCAACTGATCAAGAACTTCCTGTTCCTGATGATGGGCTCGTGGTTGATGCAAGCAGGCTTTATTCTGTTTAGGCCGGTCTCCGGCTACCCATGGAAGGATGATGACATCAGTGACATCATGTTTGTCACCACCTTCTTCTGCTGGCATGTAATAACCAATGCCTTATGCCTGTTGGGAGTCTATGGGTTCTCTTCATTTTGGCACCGTTGTTACAGTCCCAGCTTGAAGCTGATGGGGTCTAAGGAAGTGTTGTATCATGACAGCACCTCAGGAACTTTCTTCAGGCTGCTGCAGGAGGCAAAGCAGCAAGACAAGGATGACCACACTCTTCTGCTTTCAAAGAGCCCTTCCTGTGACAGGGCTTAGAATACATACACCACCCCATTTTCTTCCTGTGGGCTCTCTTGGGCACTTGTAATGCACCCTTTGTTCCTTACTGAAGGTAATGGCCCTGGAGGATGCTCATTAGATCCAACTACAATGCCTATCATTGACTCGATAACTTGAGGAGGGGAAAGGGTAATCTGAAAAAATGACACAGCCTAGATTACGCTGGTCAGGACAAGTGGGAAGGCAAAGTGGACTAAGAGGGCCGAGAGGGGTGGGCTGCAAGAGCTACCTACCAATAGTGGGAAGATCTGGCAGGACACCTGAGAAAAGAGGAGCCACCACTAAAATGCTTCTCTAAGTTCTGGCCAAGGAATAAAGACTTCTCACAAATGGAAATGGCAGTGTTGGGTGCCCCTGTTGGCCAGCTAACGTAGTACTGTGTGGAAACAGCATAATATAGATAGTGCAATTCACTACTCCATTTGGATGGAATTCTTAGACTCCTTTTGTCTGGACTCCTGCAACAACTCTCCTAAATCCAGTGCCACTTTTCCCATGCTACGGTCACATTCTTCTTTGCCTTGTATCATATTCTTTCTCTTGGGAAGGTCTTGTCCCACCACCTAAAATGTGGACCCCTTACAAGTAAATAATGTAGCATGTCATTACCTAATTCCCTTGTGATATTACCTCCTAGGGGAGCTATTTGTCTGGAAGAAGGAACAAGAAAGAGGTAGGAAGAGTAGGGGGGCAATAAGGGGTAAATATGAGCCAAGTATAGTGATGTTTCTATATGAAAACTTTATTTTTTGTCTATGCCAACTAAAAACTTAATTTAAAAAACATTTTCTAAACTGGGAATCAACCTACCTCAAGACCTAGAAATGCCACCCTTGGGGGTTTACCCAAAGGATGCTCAATCATACCACAAGGACACTTGCTCAACTATGTTCACAGCATTATTTAATAGCCAGAACTTACAAACAACCCAGGTGCCCCTCAACTGAAGAATGTATAAAGAAAATGTGTATGTGTATAGATCTGTATGGAGTTATGTACACAAGTGCAGAAGCCCATGGCTGACATGGATGTGTAGAGATGAACTTGGGTCTTCTGTAAGAGCAGAACAAGTTATTAGCCACTAAGCCACATCCCCCAAGTCTACCCTCATCCCTCGTTTTAATCTTTTTGTTGTTTCTGTGAGGTCTCACTAAGTTGACTAAATTGACCTTGCACTTACCTTATAGGGCTTCTCTCAATTTGTGAGTTTTCTGCCTCAGTCTCTGGAGCAACTGATATGATAAGCTTTACCCCACCCTCACAATGATGCTGTTAATGAACCTGTCTAATAAATTCCTTTTCTCTTACAGTAACCAGGATAGATTCTTGCTGTCTTTAGCTAATAACCCTAATATACCTACATGTATACACCAAGGCATGCAACAGAATGCAGCAGAATGGTCACTAAAACAGTTTTCATAGGAAAAGTTTAAATAAGTGTTCACCAGCCTTCTCTTAAAAGAAGAGAAGCCAGGTGTGGCTTTTAATCCTAGCTACTTTGGCTACATTGGGAGGCCAAAGTAAGATGAGACCCAGTCTCAAAAAGCAAAAAGAATCTGCCCTCCTGTGAAGTATGGAGCACATACAAAAAATAAGTTTCTTCTCACAGTGTAGCATACATGGTCTCTAGTCCAATCTGCAGCAGAGTCCTCATTCCCATATGTAATCCATGAGTGCTTCATATTCCTATCTGAATTCTTGTTTTATACATCCTTACACATACCAGGAATTTCTCCCCTCCTATATCCCATGTCCTTTGGGGGCCTAAAGACAGTAGCTTCTCTATTTGCTATTCAAATACTCCCTTCCTATATCTATGTAAAAAGTATTTATCAAATGCTCTCCAAACTACCAACTGGGTTTTAATGTATTTCCCACTGTGCCTCCTACCTGAGAGAAATTGCTGGGTCTAAAACAAGATTCGCCAGCAGCTGACAACAAATGGGCCTTTTACAACTAAATTTCATAAAGGTGACCCCATAGTGGAGGCTCATTTGTACACAAGGTTGATGGATTAAGACAATCTTCCCCATTCTTTCAGAACACTCAAGGGACTAATTAATCTATTAGAAAAATCCTTAAGAGTTATTTTCTGGATAGTATATAAGGAACAACAATATAATGAAAAGCAAAGACATTATATTGCAAGTTATGACAATGAATAGAGAATAGAATGGTGCAGCCAATGTGGTTTTAAGATAACCTGCAGTGTTCTTCCCCAGCACACACACTCCATATAACCTTTGTGGGAAGATTGTTGAAATGGAGGATAACACCTTTTTCATGAGGGAGGACTGAGACATGGTATCAGATAATTCAGGTGGGCCTCAAACTTGCTATGTAGCTGTATTTAGGGTTTTTATTGCTGTGATGAGACACCATGACCATAGCAACTCAGAAAGAAAACATTTAATTAGGGTGGCTTGTTTACAGTTTCAGAGATTCTGTTCATTATCATCATGATAGGGAGCATGATTCCATGAAGGCAGTCATGGTACTGGAGAGATAGCTGAGCATATTACATCTTGCAGGCAACAGGAAGTTGACTGAGATACTGGGCAGTATCCTAAGCATAGGAAATGTCAAAGCCTGCCCCCACAGTGACACACTTCCTCCGACACGGCCATACCCACTTCAACAATGCCACACCTCCTAATAATGCCACTCCCTATGAGATTATGGGAGCTAATTACATTTAAGCTACCACAGTAGCCAAGGATGAGCCTGAATTTCTATCATCCTCCCTCCACCCATCCAAGAACTGGGCCTGGAGAGATGCATTATTACACTAGGTTTATGAGGTTTTGATAATCAAACCAACCTCGTGCAAGCACTTTACCAACTAATCTGCACCCCATGTAAAGCAGGTAATAAGATTCTGGGACACAATACAGGCTGATTGAGATTTATTCAGGGAGAATTCACTTACACAAGAAACAGAGGACCGCCACTGCCTGTTCAACTCCAAGGATGTCCTCTGCTCTCCTCTGTCTCCCACCCAGAAGTAAGAGAGAGCATCCGGGTCAGGGCCCAGACCTAGACTCCACTGGTCATGCCCATACCTGTCCCCAACCCCAAAGGGGGTGTGGTTAGTACAACAGGTGTGGGTGGGGTGGATATCTCACTACACCCATGGCCTGGAGCTTCACTCTTATGAGTAGTTATTAGTCAGCTGACTCTGAATTAAGGACAGATTCCCTGATGGCTCAGATTTTATCACTGGGAGGTTGGGAGACAGTCCTTGCTTGTATACTTGCTTCCCATGGGAGGGACTGAGAATCCTTGATGGACAGAGGGATGTATTTCCCTCATGGAGTTTTAAATTTAGGGTTCCCAAGTTGAAGAATTAAGACTCCTGTAAAGGTCCCTGGGCTCTGAGTTGGTATTGGGGCAGGCAGGACTGTTAGGTATGTAAGTCAGTAACAAGAACTAGATTTGGCTGGTTAAAAGATGTGCCAAACCTGATAAAAAAAAAAAACAATGCCGAGTGTTGCCATGGCAACAGGAGGACATTTTGCTGTGTTGTGATTGTGTCATTGATCCATATTCCCATTGCTGACACCATTTTTCATAACGGAGTACTTTTTAGAACATATTTTCTTAGTTTGGGGGCTGAAAGCTGATACGCTATATTTATTTTGCGATTTAAAACTACTTTTCCAGTTTTTTCTTTCTTTCTCTTTCTTCTTTCTTTTTCTTTCTTTCTTTCTTTTTGCCACTTTTAAATAAAGCAAGGCATAGTGGTACATGCCTGTAACCTCAATGCTCAGGGGGTGGAGGCAGGAGGACCACAAATTTGAGGCTATCTGGGTATGGTGGCACATGCCTTTAATCCCAGCAGTTGGGAAGCAGAAGCCTGTGGATCTCTGTGAGTTTGGGGTCAGTCTGGTTTATATAATGGGTTCCAGGACAGCCAGAATTACTTCATAAAGCCCCTGTCTCAATCAATCAATCAATCAATCAATCAATCAATCAATCAATCAATCAATCAAGTCTGGCCTACATCAAGTTCTTTCTTATATTTATGGTTGTAAGCCTAGCCCTTAATGGCTAAGCTATCCCTCCAGTCCAAGCTCTTTCTTAAGAACCTAAATATGGTAAAACCAAAAGGAATTCTACAAAAGGAACAGAGGATAACCCCTAATCTAGGGGTATATACCCTGCTATATCATGGTACACATGGGATAATGTAGACACAGAGGAGAAGCAGGTATACAGGGAAAGGGAATATGTGCTTCTAGTTTCCAGAAGTAAAAGGAAGTTGCAGCTGTTGAAATGCAATAGTTGGAAGGTACTTGATATCAATGACAGAGTTGAGCAAACAGCCTAAGTCACAGTTACACAATGCCTCACAGGCCTGCCTAGAGAAGTAAAGAGAGTTTTGAGCTGGTGTGTTGGGAAAAATCAAAGCTTTAGATCCTTTTGAACCGGGAAGTTAGAATGTTGTTTGCCACATTTGTGAGCCTTGGTTTGGTGGGCCAGTAACGAATCTCACAGCTTAGTAACCCTTACTGGAAATAACAGTTCTCAAGATGCCATTTCTGACCAAACTTCTACCTTTATAATGAAGTGTTCCTTTTACTAAAGCCTTGGTTGTTGTATTTTGTCATTGCTGTTTTTTGAGGCAGGATCTTATGTAGCCCATGCTGGTCTAGACCTCGCTGTGTAGCAGAGGATGGCCTTAAACTTGGGATCCTCTTGCTTCTATTTCTCCAGTGCTAGGGTTTCTGGCACACTACCATGCCCAGATTATGAGATGCTAGGGGCAGAACCCAAGCCTTCATGCAAGCTACACACTCTGCCAATTGTGCTACCCTCCCAGGCCTGTTAACTGAAAAAATTTGGTTTCTGTTTATTTTGTTTGATTTTTATTTATGTTTATTGATCTTGAGACAGGGTCTCCCAGAACTCACAGGGTAGACCAGGCTGGCCTTGAACTTGAAGAGAACTGCCTGCCTCTGCCTCCTTAGCACTGGTTTAAAGGCGAGCGCCACCATACCATGCCTTATTAATTAAAAATTTTAAATACACACTTCACTTAACATGTTAATTCTGTTTAAATGTGTACAGACTATTATGGCAACCACTCTTAATATTGCTTCTAGCCTTCTGGCTGGGGT